AAAAAAAAAAAAAAAAAAAAAAAAAAAAAGACTGTCCTTCCTTTTCACACGTGAAATCCCCAAATGCAAATTTTAATTGGCACTGCAAAATTCAGGTTTCATCTTCAGGGTGAGGAGTATCATCTTTTTTTAATTCTTTCGTTTAACATTTTCCAAAATTAGGGGAAAAAACTTATACATTCTCGATGTTATTCAGCAACAAACAAGGTGAAAGGTACACAGATCAAAATTAGCATACAAAATCTTACAGGAAAAAAATAATTCACTGCAATGTAGAGTCTTGAATCAAAATAAATACATCACATAATCTATATTAGTACAGAATCATATACAGCTCACCGCTTCATTGTCTAAAATTTCAGGAAAACCTATAACTCCCTCCGAACCTGCTTAGCAACGGTATCATAAAATTTTCCCACCAAAACCGGTCGACCGAAACAAAAAAAAAAAAAGGCGAAGATCAAGGAAAACCATTTTTTTAACCAGAAAAAAGTTCAAAATTGGAAAACACGGGCTCGTGCGTATTTTGGGAAAAATACCTTCTTTCTCCCTTCTCAGCTTGTGTTGCCTGGCACGACGAGCCTCTCGTAAAAGAGGATGTACCCATGATCTGTATTGCTCGAGTACTCTTGGGCCGACCCGAAAAATGTCTGGACTACCGATTCGTCTATCATCTCCACATTCTCATCGTCAAAGAACAGCCAGTGATTGTGGCTCTTCACGAGACTAACATAGTGCCCATGGTTAGGCCCACTCCCGACATGGACCACCACTGCAAATAAGGAATATTCGGCATCTGCATCTTCGACTGTGTTGCTGAGCTTTAGCTCGATTGGGAAAACGACTCGGTAGGACAGCTTCTTGTACCGACCCAGTTGCTCGATGTACTTGAACCTCTTCAGATGGATGACCAAGATTTGGGGAGGCCTTTTGATCTTCATTCTCTTTTGAGCTTCTTGTAAGCTGTAAATTTCATAGCATCGAATCATTTGAGAAGTGTAAGAAGGTTTTGGGAGATTTGACATCATTTCCTATTAAAAGAAAAAAAAAAATCGACCTAACCTGCAGCATTTGTCGCAAAAGAATTTGTCTTCAGCGTTTAAAGTTTCGGTGGAGCTGAAATTTTTCAGGCAGCTTGTGATTGAACTGTTTTGTTCTATATCGAGGCTTAAGTCGAGAAATGTTTCATCCCTTGCCGTAACTGTCTCACAACATAAGCACCTTGTTTCATTCGTCAATATACCCTGAAAAAATGACAACTGTCAATCATTCATGAGGGCACAGAGATTACATACGTACAAAAGGCAGTCAAACAAGTGATTTGCGCCAAAGGGGAAAAAATAAGTAATAAATCCAAAGGATTTTAAGGCATTGGGTGGCACACTACTGTTACATTTGCCAGAATGACAAAGAACAACTTGCCTGAAAATTCTTGTGCACCCAGGTGATCACGGGTTCCTTTTGAGGACTTTTGGAGGATATATTAGTTGGCCCGTTTGTAATCTTATGGGGAGCTTCTTGATCACTCTTAATAGCCCGAGCCTCTTTATCGAGTATGTCAACCAATTCATTTAGCAAATAGTTTAGGAATTCATGGGCATCCTACATACACGATATTTACCACATTAGCAAATCTGGATTGTAGAAGAATTTCAAAAAACAAAGTCCGTCATACATAAACAAAAGTAAGATCAGATAAAGAAAATGCAACCATGAGATGCTCCTCTGCATTTCCACAACGGTCAACATCTAACTAATATAGTAATATATATCTATTTTCGAATTAATTATGACTGAAACTTTAGAAATGAAACACATTTATTCCTTTACCTGGTGCATGTAACTGCGAAAGATTTCATTTTGCTTCTTCAGCCGCTGTACGAAGCGCTTTGGAGCAAGTACACCAGTTTTTTTCTTTTGTGAGCTTATCTACAAGCAAAAACTCAACCGTGGATAATAAGAAAAGTTGTCATAAATGAGCCATTGAGTCACAACTGGTACGTTTTGTCCAAAACATCTCACCATTGATTAAGATGGCGGCATACTACTTCATTAAGCACTATTTCATGCATAGAATCATGAATACAAACATACGGGTGTAGAACAAATTTATAAAAAAGATAAGTGTAAACCCACATGCACCAATAAAACAGAGTAGAAGAATCTTGAAAAATTATATAAGATTGCTGGATTGAAACCTATTATTTTCCAAGACAAAATGCACTTTAACAATCAGTTATTCAGTTGTTTCCTCGTTTTCCAAAGCCGGGTCAGGGGATAAACTTAAACAACCAACACGAAACCATCCTAATATTAAATGTTCAGTCATTCGTAGATATACATTTCAATGTTCCAAAATACATTGCTTTACATAATAACGAATGACAAACTGAATAATCTTAGGTGCTTAAAATCTCGGTAAGTAACTAAAATTAGATGTTAAATCGATGGAAAATTGAACCCCATCTCACATCACTGCAATCAAACGAGCATCTTAGAATCAAAAGCTTTTTGGGGTGCGCTGGGAAGGGCTAAGTTAGTTCAAGTTAGTGCACTGTTTTCCGACGAGCTTGGAGAACTGCCGGCATAAAACAAAATGCTAAAGAACGTAACAGAGTAATTAACATTGATTTCTCAAAATCAGTGATATTGCAATTTATTCAATGAACTTCCAAATACAGCCACCGAAATTCGGAGAAAAAAAGAGTATGAGCTAGCAGTTGAATCGGGAAACATGGGTCACCGAAAACCTTGAAGCTACATTGAACTGCTTCCCCCCCGCAACCCCCCACCCCCCAAAAAAAAACCTTGTGGCCTGTTGTTGTAATACTTCTAATTATGCTAAGCCCAATTATATTAACCCTCCCATACTTGTTGTCGTATTCCCACAGGGACAACACATGCTAAGCCATTCAATCGCATTGAAGACAAATGTGGAGTAATATGATGAGGTCTAATCAGTTAATATTACCGGTGTCAGCAAATCTAAACCCACTGTCTGGATGTCATCTATTTTGAGTGGTCATTCAACAAATTTTTATCCTTTGAAGTTTTAGAAAAAATAAACTCAATCAATTTCAAAATTTAGTTTCTTCTTTCATTTTCTGTTTGTTCCAATTTATGTAGGTTTCAATTTTTATGGCATGTCTGGCATATTTAAAAATAGTGTAGGCAAAGAAAAGAAGTAAAATTATAACTCCAACCTGATTACAGGTGCCAAGAAAAATCAAGACTGGGAGCATAAGCCGCCACATGTACGAGATATTTCCAGCACCGCAAGGTTACCAAACGAGCAATTTTCTTCACATGCTATCCCCCAATTTTAAAAGTTACAAAACATACTACAGAGCCCAGATAATATTGAATACCATCAAAAGTTCGAATAATCATTTTATCTATTGGCCAATTTAAAAAAACGAACAGTAGGTGCTCCATTAATATATCCAATCAATTACTTAGTCAAACATAAAAGTTTAAGCATATCAGAGCAACAACTGAACTATGTCATCTCATACTGATGCTAAGCTCCAAAGTGACAGAATATATACATATTAGACAAGAAGATACATCAACAGGTGCAGTTCATGGACAAAAAAAAGTTACATCCCTCTAATAATATATTCTTCCGAACTCAAAACAGATGGTACCTGCAAAAACAAGTCTGCTAGGCATGTTAAGAGATTTTCTTCTGCATCAGCAGGAGTCTTGTTATTGGAATAATATTCCAGCAGCTGCTCACGAAATGGAACACAGAAATAAAGCGCCTGCACATGAACAAGAAAATATTAAAAAGAATCACAATTCACAACATAAGTTTTCGTTATAGTTTGTAAGATCACTTTGTAACGGTAATTAAATTGACCCAGAATAACTGCAAAAAGTGAAATTCAGCCAACGGAATACGAAAAAAATATCCAAGTATTGCCAACGTATACCGATAGGAACAGTTGGAATATCTTAACATGGTGAAGTGGTAGGTCTCGTCAACCAAATCGATCAATTTCAATACAAAAAGACCAACTGAGAAGGAACACATATTTCATACACAATGCGACTATCTCATAAACTAGTGATCAAAAAAGACAAATCAAATGCAACAAAGTTACTCAATTCTCAATTAGCACACATGGACTATAAAAGTTGAAACCATAACTTATTCTCCTATTCTCTTACTCCTTCCAGTACAAAGATCCAATGGCGCCTCAAAAAGTATGTTGCTTTACTCCACCAACCAGCTAAAACAGAACAATGATAAGAAAGCATAAAAACACATTCATGCTAAAGATATAACCATAATACTTTATCAGTTAACAGGGCATTTTAAACAATAAGGCAATAAGCCAAGCCTTGCCAAGTATAAAATTATAAATTTAGCCACTATTTAAACCCAACAAAATTTGCCTTGCCAAGTATGTAATTAAACATTTAGCCATTTTTTAAACCCAAAAAAACCGAACTTTACCGTAAATACATATCAATGCATCTAGGTACCAAATCAAAGACCATTTTTGGCCATTCCTAAAACAGAAAAAAAAAATACCATGACAACATTTCAAATGCATCAAAGTACCAAATGCAATACCAGTTTCGACTATGGAGATACAAACTAACACGTTTATACCATCACCAGCAGTCAACTTGTCAACACAAAGTAAATGGCGGCTCTCAATTTCCATTAACTCACATCCCACTCCAACAGTCCAATTCGCAGGCAAAGGTCTAGACATCAATACAAAAGTAAATTGAAGATGACAGCTAACCCCACAATTCAAAAAACACTACGAATCAACTGCGACTAAAGAAATCAACAGCCACAGGAACCTGAAGCACGCTATTGCAGTAGCAAGTATTGCCGAAATTCTCTAGCCCAAAATACCGCTCGCCTTCAGGAAATTGGTCTCCCAGCGCTTTCTCCAGCTTCGAACCCGCTGCTCCCATTCTTGCCTCACTTCATCCAGTCCCTCTCCTCTTTCTATGTGTCTGTATATGCCTGTGTAGCTTCTATACCTATCTGCGTATCGCTGTGATTCTGCACGAACAAACTAGCTCCTCGCGCGTGATTGGGATCGTGCTTGAAGATTCTAGGGTTTGATCAAAGGGGATGAAACTATGAATCCTTGAATTAACACGGGGAGTTGAAAATCGGAGAGAAGTATGAAGTTATTAGAGGTTGAAGATGAAGAAAAGTGGAGTAATCTGTATTTGCCATCGCAATCTCAGGTCAGGTCATGGGCAAGAATTCAATTGGGCATAAATTTGTGGGGAAAATTTTTTATATGGCAGCATTTTATATTTAATATTTTTTTCACTTTAATCAATTTCAATATTTTTATCTCTTAATTAATTAATTTATTTGTTATTATATATTTTTTTTTGTAGTCAGCCACGGTTCCGGAGCTATGTCCCGACTAATCCGTTGGTCGACCCAAGTCGCACACCTAGCAGTGGTGGGTAAGTCTCCCAACAAGGGTTTTCTGCATCCAGAAGGACTCGAACTCGAGACCTTGCTTAAACGACATCAAACTGTTTACCACTTGAGTCAACCCCTGTTGGTTTAGTTATATATTATTTAACTAAACCTTTAATTAAAAATTATATTTAACTTTATAATAAAAAATAAATTATTATTAATTTTAGTTAAAAGGGTAAAATTATTGTCAAAATCAAATAAATATATCCTTAATATAATTATATGCTATAAGTTAGAAAAATTATTATAATATAAGGCATGTAAATCGTGCAAGTTACGACATCATTTTAAATATGAATAATAATACAAATGTTTTATTATTTGAAATTTAAAACAAAAATACTTTCCTTAGTTATATTTAAATTTAAAACATGGATAATACAGGAGTATTGTACTTGTATCAATCGATTAAGGATTTGAATATTTCTAATTATTAATATACTTAATAGAAACTATTTTTATTTATAACTTTTATTTACTTAAAATATTGTATGTAATAAAAAAATATTAATAAATTAAATACCGATTAGATTCAACACGGATTACTTCTCAAACTTTGCACCTAGTGGTGAGCAATGATGCAGTCAATGTAAAGCTGCATTGAATCGCATAAAATTGAAAAATTAATTTTAAAAAAAAATGTTAAATAATCGAATTGCATCCAACTTAAGAAAAAATTAAACCAAAATTGCACAAAAAAGAAAAAAAAAATCATACTAAAATAACCGCACTGAAATGCACGATTCGACTATGTGTATGAATTTGTCAATTCTTCTATATATTTATATTTAATTTCGTGTAGTTCGGTGCAAAACATGTACAGAATCAAACAAAATCGAAAATCTACTTTGTGAAAAACAATAATTAAACTGCACCGAATCATTATTTTTACTTTAACTAGACAATCGATCATTTCTTTAATTTTTTTAAAAGCTTCATTGGGCCGCATGGAATTGCACGGTTCGGCTCGGTTTGTCGAAAGATTAATTGCTCACCCTACATCTACTTCCACGGTTGCACCAAAGAAAACATACATATGGAAGTTTGGAAAAGCCTTATCTGTACAAAATCTTGAGATAGAACAAAGTAGAACCTGATCAACAAAACCAGAGGATGACGAGCCTCTCAATCTCGAGCTGCATTCTCCCTTCCAAATCGAACCTAACTAGGCCATCAACCTCGTCGCCATTCAATGGCGTTCGAATTTCGCATTTGTGCCCGACGCGCCGCCCCGGCGTGTCGTCCAGCCGTGCCTCGTCCGTGGTGATGATGGCGAAAAGAGATGAGGAGCTGAAGGAGATTAGGGGTAAGTCGACGGAGGAGCTGAACGAAGAGATTGTGGACCTCAAAGGCGAGCTTTTCATGCTCCGCCTCCAGCGCTCGGCCAGGAATGAGTTCAAGTCTAGCGAGTTTCGTCGTATGAGCAAAAGGGTATTGTTACCTCTCTCTCTCTCTCTCTCTCTCTCTCTCTCTCTCTCTCTCTCTCTCTCTCTCTCTCTCTCTCTCTCTCTATCTCTCTCTCTCTCTTTCTCTCTCTCTCTCTCAGTCTCTCTCTCCCCTTCTATTTCCACCATTTCCCTCCTTTGTTATGAGGAATTCGAATGTGGTTTATTTTGTTCCAAGACAGTTCTTTTCTTTCTTTCTTTTTCTTTTTTTTTTTTTTGGAGTTCTGATAGAGTTTGAGAGTGCACGAGAGGTGTATGATGAATTGACTCCTCTGAATATGCTGATTTAGTCGTTAAAAAAAGGGTGTTCGAATTGTGATAGAGAGTGCACGGGAGGTGACTGATGAATTGACTCCTCTGAATATGTTGATAATTCTCCTATAGGTTCAAGATTTAACTGTTCAAAAACCCTAGGAAGTAATGTGATGCGTTTAAAGATCTGAATGTGAATGAGAATTGCGGTTTTGTTGGTGAAGTTTTCTTTAATTCGAACAAACAAGCATTTGTTGTATTCCAGAACTGGTTTTCGAATTTCGATTTAGAGTTGAGAGTGCACGAGAGGAGAATGATGATGAATGGACTCCCCTGAATATGCTGATAATTCTCCTGGGTTCTTGATTTAAACCAGGAAAGTAATGTGGCTTATAAAGATCAGAAAGTGAATGGGAAATAAAACAAAAAGGTGTTTCGGGATTCATAGTTTAGTTTTTTCGATTCTTGGCTTATCTGCAAATCAGTCAAAAGGTATAGAGATACTACTCGGTACAGCTGAATTCGCTTAATTGTTAGAACCTTATTTGTTTGCTCTTCAATCACCTCACAAGAACCTTATTTCTTCACTACTGTTCAATCATTCTCTTCATTTTATCTCCAATGTTTGTGTCCTAAATCTTAACATCGCTATACTTATATATTTTCAATGGTTTTGCTGCTATGAACAAAAAAAAAAAAAAAA